GTATCAACGTTTGTATTACACTGGGAGTTTATTAAATAATGTAGGGTTAAAAAAATTGCTGAAGGTTATCTGATAATTCATTGATATTTATCTTGAATTTCGTATTTATTTTGGACATAGAATTCAAATAGTTAATATCAGCAATGTTGATTTCCGACTATGGAATCGCTTATGTTGAAGTTATTTGCAACGGAATTTTGGTTCATTGGACAAAAGAAATTTTCTCCAATATTATAAATCATCTGTTGTTTATGATAGGCGCTTGACGAGGATATTACAATTCTATTTTTTATTGTGTTGCATCTAAATCATGTTTTTGCTCGGCTCACTATTCATATTTTTGCCACGGATTGTGGGCAGATTGAGCTACAGTTTATTTAACCATTTTAACAACCAATCTCCAATCAAACTTGGTAGGCACTTGGATATAAAAAATAGTTTGAGTTGTGAAACATATCATCCGAGTTGCTCAAAGATTATTCAATCCTCCCTCGCCATGCTCGAAGAACAGATGTCTTTCACATGGTGGGAGAAATTAGAGATATTATGTTGGACTGTTAACTTATATTATGGGTGAGAGAAAGCCGAGAATATGGCAAGGTGAAGGCGAGGCAAATCCCGGTGAAGAGAAGATCCGAGAAGAAGAGAAGTCATCGACAAAGCAGCAAATAATGGGCCTTAACAGGGCCTGGCAGGGATCTATAAATTCAAATGGCGTGGCGGGGATCTACAGATCCAATGTCTTGAAATTAGATGTGAGGAGAAACGGGAGTGCCCCGGAAAACCCATTTTCACTGGATGGGATCGGGTTCATCCCATAATGTCAATTCTGATTACAATCCACCTACAACCTCCATGTGAATAGGGAGAGGGGGAGGTAGTCTACAGACATGTATTTCTGCTGTTTTTATCCTTAAAATGTCTTTTCCTATTGATATTAGGATAGCTTGATCTGAGCAGGATGTTATCAAGGTTAGACCTTAAAAAGCCAAAGACATTTTACAGCGCATATTAATGACCATCGTGCTTTATTAGTTTGAAATAATTAATATAACATGGATATTTCCAAAACTAAATGTTATAAAACACTCCTACCAACCCACTATTAGATTCTTCGGACTCCATCATATTATAGTAAATTACATCCGTTTTGTTTCCTATATTAAAAATGTGCATTTTATTAACCATTTTTTGCAAACGATGTCTTTATTGTTGTCAAGATCTCTTTAAAGTATTTCACCACTCCATTATAGTAAATGTTGTCTATATTGTTACCAAACGCCCTACAAAGTATATCGCCAGTACATTATAGTAAATGTTGTCTTTGTTGTTACGAAGCGCCCTATAAAGTATTCCACCAGTCTATTATAGTAAATGTTGTCTGTATTGTTACGAAGCGCCCTATAAAGTATTCCACCAGTCTATTATAGTAAATGTTGTCTGTATTGTTACGAAGCGCCCTATAAAGTATTCCACCAGTCTATTATAGTAAATGTAGTCTTTACTGTTTCGAAACAGATTATTAAGTATTAGTCTATTATACTAAATGTTTTCTGTATCGTTTCTAAACAAATTACTAAGTATATTAACTAGTCTATTATAGTAAGTGTTTTCTGTATTGTTTCGAAACAGATTACTAAGTATATTAACTAATCTATTATAGTAAATGTTTTCTATATTGTTTCGAAACAGAATACTAAGTATATTAACTAGTCTATTATTATAGTAAGTGTTTTCTATATTGTTTCAAAACAGATTACTAAGTATATTAACTAGTCTATTATAGTAAGTGTTTTCTATATTGTTTCGAAACAGATTACTAAGTATATTAACTAGTCTATTATAGTAAGTGTTTTCTGTATCGTTTCTAAACAGATTACTAAGTATATTAACTAATCTATT